AAGTATTAATGCACGTTTAAGCTCATTTTGTTTTCACTATTATTAATGCCCAAAGGCAACTAGGTAATTTATTAAGAATAGTATTTTTCAAAAATTGCCCCTGGTTTGCTTTCTAATGCTGAGAAGCGCTAGAAGATTTCACTCAATCAATTGGCAACTTTGATATTTGATAGAAAGTTACACTTACATTTCTTTTAACACATTGGAAGCTATAAACTTTTGCAAAAAATCATCATTTAGAGTATGGGTTTAAATAAGAATTTAAAAAATTGTAATGCTTTAACTTAATTTAATAGTTAAATGCGGTAATAATTCTTCTTTTTAGACCTAAACGACGAGTTTAACGCAGTTGAGAGAATATTCCTAAATTTCAAAATTGAAACTTGTGGTATATAATTGATAAAATTATTATGTTATAGATCCAAACATTGTTTACAAAAACACTTCACAACAACTTTGTAGTTTGTAATTTAATGCGAAGCCCAATATTGTATACAAGCATGTGCCAATTTGTCTTTTTGTTCGAGACTTTGTCAGTTTCCCGGAAACATCTTCGTGGTTTCGTCTATTTTTAAAGCTATTTGAGGAATGTGGAGAGTGTTGATCCCATTTCCAAATACCAGAAGACGATCTGGATTCTCTTCTTACAAATACAAAATTAAGAAACAGCGTCTCATTAAATATAAAGGAAATTTCTTCGTGGAAAAAACGCGATTTGTCAAATGCTTTTCTTGCGATGTTTCTTAATATAAAATTAGTTTCCTTGTTAACCAATATGTATTGATTGAGAGTCGCCCTTGCTCTTTGCTAGCTTTGTAATTTACTTAACTAGTTAGGAAATTAAGGTAAATTTATGGTAATTGGTCAAAACGTTACTACGATATTGATGTTTAGGGAAGCAAGCAAATTCATTCATCACTTCGCTTATGGTCTTCAAACTTGAAAAGCTTTCATTTTATTTTGGCGCGTTCAACACTGCTTAAGTTTTTCGGATGTCGAGAAAAATGTATATTTCTTCTATAGCGTAGACAACGTTATTCCGTTTCTGTGCCCAAACCTCAATTTTTGTTTCTAATTCCATCGGATCCAGAGGCTTTCACATCAACTTCTGGATGGTGATCATCTTTTAATGACGCATACTTAATTAGAATCCACTAAATAAAACAGATTTGTGATAATAAAACAGCAAAATCGGAAAAGCTTGTAGAATTCTCCACAAAGTTTATTCAAAAAACCTGAAAATGTTCAATGTATCTTCCATTATTGTTGATGCATTTGATTATTATAAATTCGTTAGAGAAAACAGCTGCTTCAACTTCAGTCCCAGTTTGAGCAATTTTGAATCCCGATTTTTCTTCAAAAACAAAAAAAAAACATTTATTTAGTGGCTTAAACTTAGAAGAATACCTGCAAATCTGGTGTAATAATCTAGTAAATATTTACAATTGATGAATAATAAGCACGTATGGATGTTCAATCATCTAGATGCTGTTATACTCATATTATGTGTACTACTTACAATGTTACGGTATATTGAATAATGACATTATTAAGTGGTCCAGATCAAGATTTATTTAATTATTTATTTATACATTGTATAAATAAATAATTAAATAAATCTTGATCTGGACCACTTACAGCGTGAAGGGCGGGGGACGGCAAAAACCGGGAATAGTCGGATGGATCCTGGCAACTGAAATTCCCTAAAACGAATCGTTTGGCAAAAATAATTTTTTAATGTCTTAAATTTGGAAAAATACCGCAAAATCTAAACTGGTAGGCCAGGACCACTTGCAACCTCTTAAGGCGCTATCCGCTAGAACATCACAAAATAATAAATATGATTCACATACTTGTAGGCACTTTAGTCTGGATTCTGGGGTATTATTAACTTTAAAAGCAGCAAACATTTTAATTTACAGCAGAAAAACACTAATAATTGGTATCTTAGCTTCGAAGATAATTAAAGGTGTGTTTGCAACAGAACACCACAAGTTTGCATAATAAAGAAATCTGACTATTTAATAATTAATGTTAAAAAACTGAGCGATAAAATAGAGAAAAGTTGAACAATCCGATATAATACAAGAACCGTTTAGTTCAATTCTCAAGATTCTGAATTAAACTGGTTTTGACGATCGCCATGAACACAACAGCTTTTCCAGCCTAATATAATAGGGTAGAATCGTGCAAATACTTAGGAATAATTTTCGATCATAATTTAAGGTGGAATAAACATCTATATATATAAAATTCTCGTGTCACAGTTTTAGTTACCATACTCCTCCGAAACGGCTTGACCAATTTTGATGAAATTTTGTATGTATATTCAGTAGGTCTGAGAATAGGTTGATATCTATTTTTATACCCCTAAGTGATATGGGTGCTGCCATAAACCCCTATCTTTTAATAGCTAAATTAGTAATTCAATAAATTAAAAATAAAATAAAAAAAAATCTCAAGTGGGTAAACCGCCCACTCGCGATGAAAAAAAAACCCTAGGAATAATTTATATGGCAATACAACGTTTGCCGGGTCAGCTAGTATAGAATATATAATAAAAAAGACTAAATATCTAATATACATATTGTGCTTATGCATTATTTCATAGCATTATAACCTATGGTAATATTGCTTGGGGGGGGGTGCATATGATAATAACCCAGCGTTATTACAAAAACGACAGAATAAAATACTGAAAATAATTAATAAGAATACGCTTATGAATGAAAATCCTTTAACACTAAGACAAAGTTTTTCTTATGAATGCCTTATCCACCACTATAAGGGTCTGTCGATATTGTTTAAAGATTCGAAAAGTAGAACACGTAATAAATTAATCCAGCTTACTAAGTAGTCAGTGAAAAGAATAATTATTGCAAAGCGATAAAAGTGTTTTAATAATCTAAGTAATGATCTAAAAACATAGAAGTAATCAATAAATCTAGTAAAAGGAGTCTGAAAGGCTGGATTAGATTAAATGTATCAGGGAAAATGTTTCTTTTATTTAGTGTAATTTATACTATAATGGGTAGGGTATCTTACCTAATGGTTTACTAAAAACTTAGCATTTATATTTAGTTTTAATTAGTTTAGTTTGATAAGTTAGTAGTATTAAGTATTTAAGTTTTCACACCGGACTACGAACAGATAATGTCTTACCTCTGCAGATTTACAGAACTTGGGTATGTAATGTTCTGGTGATAAATAAATAAATAAATAAATAAATATAAACAATTCCAGTACCGGGGAGGAGTAGACTTTATAATATAAAATTGAATGCATCACTCCGATCCACGTTCAAGCAATTGTTGAGTTATCGGGACAATTAAGTATCCGGTGTTTGAGAAAGTGCAGTTGTGCAATGCTTTAAGTACTCCTGGAAGGCTCAGGCTACATTTTGTGAAAGGCTCTTCAAAATAAGCCACAGTTTGACAAATGGTTGTTATTATTGACCAAGGCTGTCTACCTGTAACTATCTGTTAAAGACAAAAACCATCATTGCCGCTTTGACTTTTCATCAAAAAATTGTAGAAGAAAACTTCTTTAGTATCAAAATTTTTCGTAATTCGAGGCAAAGATCGCAATTTTTCTTTTTGAATGCTTAAGTATTCCAATATGCTACCAATTAAACATGGAACAATTTCAAAATAGTGCTTAATAACAAAGTTCAACTTCGATGTTTAACTGTTAATATCTTCTAGAAATTATCGAAAAATCATAATTCAATATTTTCCTCGTAGTCTATAAGTGAGCCCCTATTACCCCTTAAAAGAAATGACGCCAATTTTGAATCACCCTGTATATGTTACACAAGCATGCCTGCGCGATTCATAAAATTATTCATATAAATTTAATTCGCGATTTTAGGGGACAAGCCCGGCATTGGCGGCGTCAAGCGCTCAACATAATTTGGACATATTATTATTATATATACATATATTATTATGCATATACATATATTATTCAATAAATAAGGGCAATAGTAAGTAAGCCGGGCATACATTATGGCGTATTTTCTACCAGGGTTGAAATACAGCTGCAACAAACAGTGATTTTTTTAAAAAATATATTGAATTAATTTTTGATAAAGTATTCGAGATCTAGACACTATTAACTCGTTTCCCTCGGTTTTTTCTGTTATTTTTTTGGAAAAATAAGATAATTAAAGGTTTCTACGGTAACATTCACGTAATATCGGCTCTATCCAGTGCCAAATAATTGACCACTTTTCAGCGACAAAAAATAAATTCAAAGTGAAAATTCCAGACATGATTGTATAATACAATGCAACCTATTAGTTGAAAGGATTTATATTTGCTTTCGGCTCTATACTATCTACTGGCAAGGAAGCAATTCGAAACGCCGTAGTGGAATGCAGTTGCCAACAAAAGCAAGCAATATAAATGAATTCAAATGCCATTAGCGATATTTAGAATGAGTAGAGAAATTTGCTGGCTTAACTGCTCTTTATATTTATAAAATCTTAAAAATGTCTCACTTTCGAGTTAGTTTCACTGTTTATGCCTCAAATGTTTTTGTTCATTGACTTATTTGCCCTCTGGAGTTAAGGTGACTCTAATTTGAGAAATTTTTGATTCTTGTGAGCTTTTATTAACTTTTTAACAAGTCGCCGATAACTGTGTTATTATATTTTATATGTTACGAGGTGTGTTGCTTTACAGCCAAATAGTATGTTCTTGGTATTCTTTGGTGGAAGCAAAGTGTGAAATATTAAGTTTGATACATTGTAACACATTTATGAGTGTATATCGCTTCGAACACATTCCATTGCTGATTGAAAACAATTAGCATAATCGACAAACAAGTGCCGCCTTATTGAAATATTCTGAAGAATGTTTAAACGAGCGAATTGCTGCGAAAAGCAAAAACTGATCTATTTTGAGTGGATTTGTCCTTCCAAAATGTAGGAAAAGCCAAGACTATTGGGCGCGCGCAATTTTTACTCCCCTCACTCCAATATTAAGCTTTTCTCTGAGCGTCCAAGGCGTCGCGACGTTCATACGAACGACGCACTGCCCGACTGCCACGCGCGGTTCCCATTTTGGCCAGTGCTCCGACCTAAGTTGCTCATTTCGAAAAGACCCAAAAAAAGGGCCGAAAGTTGAAAAAACAAGATCAAAATGGCTTCTTCCAGTGCCGTAGCTAGGTCTTCCAAGTATTCCTATAGATCCAGTGGCGCCCAAGGTGGTAGCGCTGACGTCAGCATTGAATACAGCGCTGACTTGACCGCTCTGAGCAGGCTCGAGGTAAAATTATACTAAGTGATCAAAACGGGTAAAACTGTAGGATATCGGGTTACAGTTGGTGCAAATTTGGGAAAGTGCTAATTTTTCGTGATGAAGACAGACCACTTTTGTGCTAGAGTTTTTGGTGAAATCAGTGCTGAAATTATTGGATTAAAGCCGGTGGAAATTTTGCAGGGAATTCGCAACACATGACACAATCAAATAATCAGTCGCAAAAGTCTTCCAAAAAAATACCAAAAATTCCAAAGGTTACATAACGCAGAATATCAAATAACGTCCATTTGATGACCTTTCGCGGACATGGTTTTAAATTGTTTACATTGTGTCAAGTGTCCTTTCGCTATTATTCAAAAACTCATCAATTTTCAAATTAAAATGGATCAAATCCTATCGCTCCATTCATGTCCACTCAATTAATCAATTCATGGACTGTTTTACTCAAGCATTCTAAACCTTGGTTTGCTCCCTGAATATATCGCCTAACTCCTCATCAACAGTCTCGCACTTAAGCCCTTTAAATGCAAAAAAACAATGAAATTGAAGCCCAACGATTGGCATTTGAGCGAAGACAGATTTAGCAAAAAATGCACCACCAAGAGCCTGTTGCAACTTATAAGTGCGCATAAAGTCGGTTGAACCAACAAAAATTCGTTTAATACTGATTGCTGACTTCAGAATATTGCAACTTCATGAAACTGCATGAAATTATTTTTCCAGGATAAAATTCGTCTTCTCCAAGATGACCTCGAAGTAGAAAGAGAACTCAGATCAAGAGTGAGTAGTTGAAATTTTTGGCTTGCATAAACCTCTAAATTTAACTGTGGTATTTAGTTTGCCGCTAACTAATTTGCTTTATTTGCTTCTTCTAAAATGATTTTCATTATACAAGTAATGTTATGCTTTAAATTGATTGGCGTGCTTATTTTAACACTGGCTTCGTCCTCCGGAGGGAGTGCGCTACTACGGCAAAAAAACATTAAACCATCGAGCAACTGAGCAACTAAAAGAATTAATTTTCTAAACAGTTCAGCAATATTTGCGTCTGGAATATATTTTCAATAAAATCGGTTTGTTTGATGATCGATCAAAATGTCGCTCTGAAAAAACCTTCAACTTGGACGCCTAATCCCAATAATATTGCTATAAAAACGGAGTAAAAATCGAAATTTGGGTAGGTATTCATTACGCATAGCCTGAATATAGAGGAATGAATCAACCCGAGGTTAGCAATGGTTCTATTTTAATTTTTGGCAAGGTGCTTTTCCGATTTAGCTCATGCAGTCCAATCTACTTCGTACTCTGTTTCACTTCGGGCTAAAAATAAAATCCGATTGCGAAAAAAATAGTTCTTTTTTCGTCATCTCGAAGATGACTATGACAGCTGGAGAAAGCCAAAAATGTGCCAAAAACATTTCCTTTGAAAATTTTCGTAAGACACTGTCTGGTCTAGATGATGAAGCAGATACTTGAGTCAACTCTCAAACTTGATAATTTTCTCCAAATGAAGATGAAAAGTTAGTCTACGTATCCTTAATGCTAATAGAACAAGACAACGCTTCTCAATCGCATTGAACAAACTGATTGCAGCTTTTCTAGTAAGAAAATAAAAACCTACTTTTTTTCAAAAATTGTGCCCAGCAAAAACAATCGAAGTGCCTTACCATTAAATACAGCACTTAACCAGAGAAGAACATGAAACTATGACTAATGATCAATCAGAGCAAAGGATGTCGAGTTTTCAATGTCTGCAAAAATTTGTAGTGCGAGCAACTTTGTTATAGGAATTTAAATAATAATACAAAATGGGGTTTTTGGAATCAAACCCACCACTGATCAATATGTTTATTGTAAAGGATAAATGGTTCCCGCAAGCACCAAGGAGCAACATTTTTATTTAAAGCGAACTTTTACAGCTTTGATAAATGATGAAGATTGCTTAAAGTTGAACGTCAATCAAATGAGCTGAAAATGCCTTCCATAAAGTGAACATTCCTAAACAAAATATTCGACTGAAATATTCCGAAAATAATCTCATATGATTTTTCACACCTACAGAAATATTTCGGTAACCTAAATAATTTGGTATTTATAGAAACAGCTTACACTGGGACACAAAACGAGAGCCGTGCATTGAAAAACAATTCACGTAATTATCGCAATAAAAATTTTGCATTTTACAAGCCAGCTATAAATAATTCTCAATAAACATGAACTTGGAAGTGTAGTAAATCTGATCAGTATCCTGTCCGCTCCTGTTCTTTAAATTTTCTATCAATCTTCTCGCCAAAGTAAGACCAAATTTCATACAAAAAGCTCGTTAATTTAAAAAAAGCGTAAAATAAATATAAATAATGTAAATTTGTATAAAAATAAGAATGATAACAGTTTACATAAAACGCTTCAAAAGTTGCTGTATGACCAGAGTAAAGTGTTTAAGATGAAAATATTTATGAAATTATTAAAGCTTAACTGTAAAGATTTGCCGTATTAAGATTAAGATAACCGAGACTACTTATATTCCCGAATAAAATTTACCATTTGGTCCAGATGAGTAAATTTAAATTCAATGTTAGATAGAAGTGTTTGTTGCAAATAGCTCTTCGAAGTAAATGTTGTAACAAACACTTAGCGCTGGATCTCCAACGAATAATCATCAGTAAGCAGGATTAGAAGATGCAAAGAAATCTATTTAGAACGTATTCAGGAAGAAGATCTTGTGCTAATTAAAAAAAAACAACAAAGAATATTAAAAAACAATGATAAACTATAAAAATAAAGTCTCAGGATGCAGGTAAATGCACGGATTGTTAATTATATTTAGCGCGCCGATTAAGATAGAAATACAAACCTGATGCATATGATGATTATTATTAATGCATATAAAGGAAAATATTAGTTAAAGTAGGTATTAAACATCCGAAAATGTTAATATCAGATTTATTGCATTTTATTTACTTGAAACATGGCATTGAAAATATTTCTGCCGCTTATAGCACGAAAAATATTCCAACATATCAAACTATTGCAAAATGATACAAAATCCAAGTTTAAAAAATTTCCCTTGAAAAAAACTAGTTAGTTAAAGTAATTTTCCGTCTAATTATATCACGTAATCACGATCTCCAGTGCCAAAAATTTAACGAAATTCACAAACATAGAAATTGGCAATTCTGGAGTTAGTCTCATCAAAAAATGTATCCCGTTTCACGTATACCAATGGTCCAAAATATTTTAAATGTTTTTCGCACCGAATCAAGCAGAACAACAACAGGATAAAATAAATAAAACGATTAATCGAAATGCGGCAGCAAGTTCTTAAATGTGAAAACAAATAAATCGACTTTTAACTAAACCGTTTACAATTTGATATTTTCTTTTTTGGCTTGCTCCTGATATTTCTTGTAATATGTGCCTTCTGGGTCGTATTTGGCGGCCACCTCGTCCCAGTAGTCGCGTTTGTTCTCGATAAGGTAATGAATCACTTTCTTCGCCCCGTCCCGCTGCTTGGGGGTGCATTTGGAACATTCATTTTCCAGGGCATCGGGCAAATTTTCTAAAAAATAATTTATAAAACTGATGATTTTTTTTGGGCTTTTAGTGCGCGAGAAACGGTTCAGTTTCAATCCAAAAATTGTTGTAAAAAGTGACCATTTTTTAAGCAGTAAATGGGTTCTGAAAGCGCAACTTGTATGTGATTTCCTCTGTATTATCCATGCAGAATTTTTTCAATAATCACATTTTTTTTGCTGGTTCGATGCAGTTTACGTTCAGTTACAACTTGCCAAAGGAGCAGCTGATTGAAAAAACATTAACAGATTAAAAGTGCAAATTAAGATTTAAAATTGAAAACTGTTTTGTTGCTGCCAACTTGTAAATTGGATGTTTAAAAGATGTTTTAGAAGGAAAATTCAAATAGAAATGCATTCATTGCAGGTCCAAAACTGTGAATAATGCAAATTTTAATCAAAAACCAAAAAATCGTCTACGTACTTTTCAGTTCAATGCCATCAGGCGTGCACTTTCCTTTGTCCAACAGACAATTAATGTAATTGCGTAACAGTCGATCACTTGATAAGATTTGGTCCAGATCAACATTGTCGAATTTTGAGGTATATTCCTCACCGGAAGCCACGCCGACTACGACCACCAAAAGCAACACGACTTTCATTGTTATAAACAATTTGCAACTATTGGCTCAAGTACTAATTTAATAACAAATACTGTACATTTATGTTCAATTGACGGTCCCCGTTTATATATAAGGTGTTATTAGCATCCACGGCTGTTTAAAGGAAGTCCAATTTGGATGAAAAGTTGGTGGGGACGTAATTAAAATTCAGACGTAAATGCGTTTTTTATCGCATTTGGAAACCGCATTTTTTTCCATTATAAGGTGCCAGTTGACATAGACTATTAACTATCAGGAGTTAATGATGGGTTTTAAAAAAAAAATTGGCGATACGTAGGCGTCGAATTAGTTTAGCCGCAAATAAAAAGATATAAACACTAGACAAAAGTTATACAAATTGAATATGCAAAAAGTCTCACAATTGGGGTCGAAAACAGTGGAATCTGCCATGAAATATTATAGGGTAAAATTCGTCAAATCTCAGTCAAATGCGTGATTGAATTGAATTTTTGGGCACTAGTGAAGAAAGGGGCGCTCTTCGAAATGCCACTGAAAGCACGTTTTAATCTCTAGAAGGTTTTTGAAAACGCGCGTTTGAAAATATAAGCACACTCGGATGATAAAAAAATTCGTAAAATCTCAGTCAAAAGCACGATTAAACTGAATTTTAGCAGACCAGTGAAGAAAATGGCGCTCTTTAAAATACCGCTGGAAGCGCATTTTAATCCCGACAAATTTTTGAAAAACGCGCTTTCTAAACTCACTCTGCAACAAAGCGTCGCTCATAAAGCGCACGCGGATGATTAAAAATTCATAAAATCTCAGTTAAAAGCGCGATTGAATTGAATTTTATGGCACCAGTGAAGCAAAGGACGCTCTTTAGAATACCTCTGAATGCCCGTTTCTACCTCAAGAAGGTTTTTCAAATCGCGCTTTTGAAACCCTTTGGATGGCCGATGAACAATTCAGTCTCCATTTTATACCTTTCGTACACTTTTGTACACCTAAGTCGAAAATTATCAACCAAAACCAATTGAATACGTAGAGAAAAAAATGAAAACGTTTCTTATTTTGTTTGTCCAGTTGATTTTTCATTTCCAGTTTCAGTTGTTTATTGCAGTGCAAATATTAATCGCATTCACGGCTATCGCTAAAAGCTTATTATTGCTAAACAACTTATAATATGCGGACCTTAGTTAGTGCTAATAAACATGTTATTACTTGCTTTAAAATTCGTGTTCCCAGAAATAAAACATCATTTATAAAACCGTGTAACTTACATAATTAGCAGGGTCACAGTGCTACGTATGACTTCACAGAAATGTGACCTAACAGGTGTTGTAAATAGGGAAAAAAACATAATTTGCTAGAAAAATTGCAAATTTTTCGCATTTTTCCTTCAAAGTCTACAGTTGATTATTGGAATAGATCAGAGTTCAACCGTTTCTATAATTCAGTTAGAATTATTCCCAACTGATACACTTGTATCAACGTGTATATTTACTCATACTGCTGGAAAAATAAATCCAAACTCCACATACACCAACTTTAGCTTTATTAAAAATTGGGTAACAAAGTTGTTAGAAAATATWCAACAACAAACAAAAAAATCAACTAAAATAAATTAATCAAATGATGAAGGCACGCAACATTCTCMTTTAGGCGTTCAGGAACTGGTGGAATTGGGGAGCAAATTTGTCCTCAGGATCAAATTTCTTCGTAATCCCCTTCMATTGATCGGGGTCGTTTTTGATCAGGAAACTGGCCCCTTTTCGYACGAATTTCTGCTGAAAAGTACACAAATTCATCTGAAAMSCTACTCGAAAATGCAAAATTGATCATATAATTTTGTTCCGATATTAAAGGTGCAACTCGRTTGAATTAGCCAACGCATGCATSATAATTTGTCTTACTACGAAATGTATAATTGAGGATATTTTTGATATTGTAATTATGGATTTTTATATTCCACAACTCATTTTCTTCATGTTTCAACGCATTAAAAGATATACATTGAAASTACAACGAACAGACAACAACAAAACATTTAGTGTAWTTTCTCATTTCAATWAAATCTACTGCAAATGTATAATAGGTGATATGCTGAGACTAAGTGAAAATTCTGTAAATATAACGATCTGAACAGTCCAATTATTTAGTAAAAATTTCATAATAAGCTTTCATATCTGGTTGCATTATTAAAACATAAATGTTTACTCTCAATGGTTGAATAGTTTGTTAAAAGCCGAGATTGTTAATTATTATTTGAAAAATACGCAAAACAATTTAATTATTTTTATGGAGATGAATAAGTTATAACTATCGTTGAAATTCGTTCATTGAAACTAACAAGATGATAAAGCCGAAAATGCCAGCTGAAATTTATTGAATAAATAATAATAATAATAAATAATAATAAAACCTGGGCAGAAAGATCGATTAGGTCGATAGCCTTTTTCTGTAGGAAATAAAGATTATTTATATATATATAATAAAACACAAAGAAAAATTACCAGAGATTGAAAAACAGTGCCTAATATAAAAAAATAAACCTAACAAAATAATCTCAAATTATAAAGGCAATTTCCTAAAAATAATCATAGATGAAAATTGACTAGCAGTGTTTATGATTCATTTTTTAAATAATGTACTTGAAAACTAAATAAACTTTTGAAGCCACAGATATTAGAACCATGCTGTTAAACTCCCTTAAAAGCAATTTCCTTATGCTCATGAAACTCGGATAGAAACCTGTTGTTAAAACTCAAATTTACCAAATAAATAACAGCAGGTGTTTTCTTCTATTCTAAAGTTTATTTTTGGGTGAGAAACGGTTGCTATTTAACGCAGAAAATATTTCATCTCTTGTATATAAATAATTAAATATTTGAAAAAATTGTTCTAGGAATTTTTACCTTGTGTTTTCAGCTGTATTTCTTGCAAATCATTAACAAAAACACTGCAACAAATTTCGATTTCGTTTAGATTATGAAAATTTCAAGCATGGATAAAAAATTGAGAAAACCACTGGGAATCATTTTAAATTCACCTTATGATTCTAAATTCTATTTTTTCATCGTTTTCACTCTGATCTGATAATCGAAAACAATTGTTTAAAACGTATGAATCTAACAGATAAAGATAATAAGAACTCTTCTTTTGTTACAGTGTAAAATCTGTTAATGCTGCCTAACAATTAAATTTGCAAGAACTTTTCTTTGCAAATTAAAAAAAAATCGCAATAGTATAATAACTTTTCATCGTATCCAAAATGTTCTACAGCATAGACAGAATACCAGCTGTTATAAAATGCTTTTCTAAATGTTGTTTTTTCCACCTGCTTCCGTCATTGCTTTGTGCTAAAGTGATAATTTAAAAAATGCACTGTTTAAGAGCTAAAATTATAATTCTCGGGCATTTTTTGCAGATTGAGAGGGAAAAAGCCGATCTCAGCGTACAGGTGATTCAACTGTCTGAACGTCTAGAGGAAGCTGAAGGAGGTGCTGAAAGCCAGGTAATAATAGTAGAAAGCAATAGGTTTGAAACACAAAAAAGTTATAATTTGAAGCCCACTGTTAACGGCTAGAAATACTTGTTCTACATTTCTAATTGTGATGTTTTTCTCAGTTTGAAATCAATAAGAAACGCGATACCGAACTGCTTAAGCTGCGCAAACTTCTTGAGGACGTTCACATCGAATCCGAAGAAACAGCTGCCATCCTCAAGAAGAAGCATCAGGAGATCGTTGTTGATTTCCAAGACCAAATCGACACTCTCGCTAAAGCCAAATCTAGGTAAGTTTCACTTGAATTTACAGTCAGATGTTTAGTACGACTATTTTGAGCAAAAATAGCATCTTAAACTACGCCACCCCAAAGTGGCAAATAATTCCGGTTTGAATGTTAAGCACTCCGAAGCTCAAGCGAGAACAGAAGTTTTAAAAGCAGATAGAGACAAATTCGCACTACCTTCAATTACCTAACCGACCATTAGAAACAGGTCATATAGACTTAAAATCATAATCTGATACAAAAATTGACTTGCTGCGTCTAAATCCAGAATAGCAAAGTAATAAAATGATCCAAATATTTATCCAGCTTCAACATGCCACGACTCGATATCAACACAAGCTTATGATGTTTATGCAATTTCCTATATTAATCCTCTTTCCAATACATTCTGCTAAATTCAGCTAAAAGTTCATCGAGCAAATAATCAATGATGAGTAAGCAAAGAAGTAGAAGCTTACTGAAAGAAATCTACTAGTACAAGACAAGGCGGAAAAAGTTACTAAAGGTTCTGGATGAAAACACAAACAGACACTAGCTGTGTTCACCGAAGAAGTTATTGTTATCAAAAGATTATCTAAATACCGTCTATGAGGTTAAATCTTTTTATAGATATAAGTTTATTGTTGAAAGGAAAATTCAGTTCATGTAGGTCGTATGCAATGTTGCTTCAAAGCAAGTTGCTCATCAAAAAGTAAACATTTTCATTTTCATTGAAAATATACGAATCATAGTAATAAATCAAAAATAATATACAGTCTGTTTCATAATGATGTGCAAAAATTAGTAGAAATTATTTTCTTTTTCTGTGTAAAAAAATATTCACTTGTTGATTTCAGCTGATACAGAGTTCTAAGTGAAATAACGCCAAAAAGAACAATTTCGCTGAGAATAGTATTGAACTGAGAAAAAATATATTTTACTAACAGAAAATTTCGTTCAAACAGTTAATAATGTGAAATATGTGTCTAATTTCTAATTGCATGCGGACAGAATAAAATACTAATTTTCGCGATAATTGTGAAATTTTACTATTTTTGCAGGAAGGTGGAAACCTCATCCAACCATATCAATGGAAGTGTTTATTCAAATACATCGCTGAACGAGTTCAACACTGTTATGAAACACTCTGTATAAGTGATATTTTATCTTCTTCGTCCTGTTCACAAATGTTTTGTGGGGTAGCTTTCATTTCTAGCTGGGTTCATTATTTTTGCAGTTTGTTTCCTTGCCCTGAGATTTACCTAGGTACTTTCCAAATTTTCATTAGCGTTTCTTCAACTTTTGATATGATATTTTCTTATACTGTTAACTAATTAGTTGGTTCTATTGCCAATCTCACATAACACGTGTTTCGGGCAACCGAAATAAATTTGCAAAACATTAAAAGTAAAAAACTGAGCTTCATCTGCGATCAGTTTGAGAATCGAGAAAATCGCACACAAAATTTTCGCTTTCGGTCGGTCTCAGTCGTTTTGTTATAAATAGCTTCCTTGTGGACCTCTCGCCATATTTGTCCTGGATAGCGTTCCATTTGGCTAAGTAATGTGTTTGATAGTTGCTGAAAAATCCTGCACAATCTTGCATGTTTCACGTTTTATTGTTTCGCTGACGAGCTATTAATACATTTCCTCCCACTTTTAGCTTTCTTTTAAATACTTTTTGCTATTGCTTTCTCACTGAAAATACACTATGTTTGTTATAAAATTGCACTTCCTTATAGCGTTTCGCTGAACTCGCACCATCGCCACATGGAACATTTCCTGTGCACCAACTTCATAAAATTGACTTTTAGCTCTTCCTAGTCACTAAAATCCGAATTAACCTCATAAGATGAACTATTTATTTCCACAATCGTTAAACAGTGAAATGCCCAAATGATTTATTTTGCAAATTAATTACCAGCGTTAACTGCAATAATGTAAACCGGTAATGAATGATTTAGTAAGTTTGAGTACTTGAAAATTTAAATTTTCTAGAAAGAAGGAAGCGGAGGGAAATTGCTAAAAGGATTTCTGCTAAATACATTTTATACCGAGGTCAATGTTTACGGAGAAAACAATTCAGTAGTACAGAACCATTTCAAACAGAAAAAAAGTTAGTAAAATGTACCAAATTCAAGTGAGGAACTCTATTTAATCTTTCAATGAGAATTTATTTTCAAAAAAGCTGTTTATAAATGGACCGAAACAACAAAGAAAAAGTTATTAAAATACGAAACTTTCTAAATCATAAAGATCTGATAAATTGCAACAGTTTAATGTATGTAGTTATTACTTCGAGACGAAAAAACGTACAAAAAATAGCTTTTTAAAAATTGCTCTTTTGAAACTATGGTCTAAAGAAGAACAATCTTTCTATTTCCAATTTCCAATTCCAAATTTTGCTTTTGCTATTTATTTCTTCTTCACATAAATAAGCACAACTTCAAAAAACTGCAAAAGTAAACAGTACCACAAATAACCACGCTAAAGCATCGATTTCGGTTTTGTGTGATAATATTTGCAATGTTAAAGAAATAGGAAAATGTAATAATAAAAAGAAATTAATACGTAGGAAGTCATTATCAGTGTTTTGTCTATTTTATTTGTTTATCTGTATGAGGGGACAGTAAAAAAAGTTTATTTATATATTTTCCAACTTTTTGTTAAAAAAAGTTACATAAAATACTCGTTAAATCACTTGTTACAAAAAATGTTCACAAGACAATAGACACAAATTTTAGAATTTTAAAAACGTTATTAAATAATAATAAAAAGGTAATAGGAATAATATGTGTAGTGCGTTGATTAATAGAATTGCTTAAGCTTAAGTGTAGGTTGCTGAAGAAATCTAAAGCAAAATAAAGGAAATTAGATTAACAAATCTAGTTCATATTAAAGCACTGTCACCAGACCGATATATATTCAATTATTCTTTCTTGGTGATGGCTAGAAAATATGTTTTATAAGGAACACTTTGAAGACGATTAGATAATAAACCGATTTTGAATGCAAATTTAAATCCGAGAATTAAAATTAAATACTTAACAATTGCAATTCTTGAGCGAGTTTAATTCTTCTTTCTGATTTAATAAATAATATCATGTTGTTTATGTTTAGCTGGGATTTGCAATAATAAATAATCTTAATCACAACCACCTTAGCTCTATAGTGATTCCGAAATTCTCAGTTGCTCTTGCATTAAACCAATGACTAAATGACTAAAAAGTGTCGGAAAATTACTTGAGAATAAATCCGCAAAATATAGCAAACGCGTCTGAAAACATCGCTCTAAACCACATTTGAGACATAAGCAAACTATCAAATTTAAACATCAAATCGATGTTAAATTAAAATTTAAAAAAATGAATTTTATCAAAATCGTTAACATCAGATTCTCAATTTTAATAAAATCTGTAAATAAAGAATATCCAGATTTTCCAAAAGAGCCCTCGCTTATGGAATAGGAATTTTACTTTAATGTAAAGCATTGAAAATTACGCATTTTTTTAGAACAATTTGAGCTGCTTAATGAAAAGATCACAAACTAAATTGTTCATGCTTCTCATATTTTTTTACGAGCTTTGACATATTGCAAAGGATCATGTTTAAATGTTCAGAGCCCCAGAGGAAAGGTAGAAAAAAGTGTTAAAAATTGGCAATATTCTCAGAAGATGCCAAAATAATTTGAAAAGTTAGGATAAAAAATATTAAGTAAATTCTTTCATTTGCATGTTTTCTTTTTATGTACTTTGGGCCAGAGTCAGTTCAGTTGCTTTAGTTGCAAATCAATCTGTAAACATATTTTTGTGTTTTGCAACTTCTTCAATTATTTTCTAGGAAACTCACTCATATTCTCGTTAACTGCGTTTTAATTGTATTTTATTCAACTCGTTTTAACTTCCTTCGTGACAAGAGAAACAAGCAGCCAAAATTCAACATTCTAGAGGCCACGAATATTTTTTCTAATAAAATTCACTAAATCCTTTCTTTTTATTAAACATTATGAATTTATTTTGGAACTGTGAGCTTTACGAATTATTCAAGGGTCATAATTTTTTTCTTATTAAAAATATAGCATACTCCGTAAATCTTCTTTACATGTTGCACTCTAGTAATTAATGAAACCCCATTAATCCAGCTCACAAAAACCATAACTTATTTAACACGTCAGCATTAACTTTCAAAATTTAAGAAAATTGGCACTTTAGTCGTTTTAAACCGACAGATCAAACCTACCTACACGATAAACACCGAACCGTATTTTTAGAAGTCAAACAAATAAGATTAAATAACCGTGCTCTAGTTATGCGAATGTTTTAGTTATTTTCGTTGGGAAAATTGGATTCTTTTACTGCGGGAACGACAGTTTCCCAAACTTTACGAGAATACCTGGAATAAATTATACACCGCCGTGGTGCCGTTTAATGGCTGATGGTGTAAATCAGTAGCGGTGCCACAACACTTTTGGATGAGCCATTTTCTAAATGCGTTTCGAATTGCAGGGCTGAAAAGGAAAAATCCAAATTCCAAAGCGAAGTCTACGAGCTTCTGTCCCAAGTGGAAAGTGTCAACAAAGAGCGTCTCATTTCCGTGAAACATGCGGAAAAATTGGAAATCACCATCAATGAACTCAACATCAGAATCGAAGAGCTCAACCGTACCGTTGTTGACATCACCTCTCACAAGCAACGCCTTTCACAAGAGAACATCGAGCTCACAAAGGAGGTTCAAGACATCAAGGTAAATTGCTCAATATATCCAAGTTATCCAGGCTACAGTAATTATTTTCGCAGGTCAATCTTGAAAACGTGATCTACCTCAAGAGCCAATTGGCTGGTCAACTCGATGACGCTCGCCGTCGTGCCGAAGATGACGAAAGGAGGAGGTCAATTTTGGAGGCCAACCTTCACCAAGTTGAAATTGAACTCGAATCCATTAGGGTGCAACTTGAAGAGGAGAGCGAGGCCAGATTAGACCTCGAAAGGCAATTGGTCAAATCCCAAGGAGAAGTTCAGGTATGTTGAGACATTTCGTGCGAGAATGCTCAATATATTTTAAACATTGCCATGGCTTCATAGGTATGGAAATCTAAATTCGAATCTGAGGCCGCCGCACGTGCCGAAGAAGTCGAGGAATTGCGCCGCAAGTTCAGCGCTCGCATCCAAGAGCAAGAAGAGCACATTGAAGCTCTCCTCGTCAAGGTGAACAACTTGGAAAAGCAGAAATCTCGTCTGCAATCTGAAGTTGAAGTCCTCATCATTGACTTGGAGAAGGCCAACAACACCGCCAGGTAATTCACTCTTAAGACCTAAGTTTGTCCCCAAAATGGATCAGATAGTTCACCGAGAATGTGATGAACAGTGCAAAAGCGCACAAAAATAAACATTTGATATTCTCTAGGGAACTGCAGAAACGCGTGGAACAGTTGGAACGCATCAACATCGACCTGAAGAGCAGGTTGGATGAAACCGTTCAGTTGTACGAACAAAGCCAGAGAGACTTGAGAACTAAAGTTTCTGAGTTGCAACGCACCGTCCATGAATTGGACAAGACCAGGGAGTTGAAGGATGCTTTGGTAAGGGAGAACAAGAAATTGGCCGGTAAGCACTGCGATAATCATCAAAATGTTCGATTTTCACAATGCAATAATTCTAATCTAGATGACTTGGGTGACGCCAAGGCGACCATCTCTGAACTTACCCGTCGTCTCCACGAAATGGAACTGGAACTTCGCCGTTTGGAGAATGAGCGTGAAGAACTTACCGCTGCCTACAAGGAAGCCGAAGCTGTAAGTATAACATTGTTGTTTTCATGTTGCATGTAGTTGGATTGAGAAAGGAGAATCCTTTCAAATTACTGCAGTTTTAGATATTATTTTATCCTAAAGCTCTGACGAATAAGATTTGAAAAATTCTACAGTGACTTGCAAAAACTGTAAGTTCTTCATCATCGTCCCATATAAATCACTTAGAAATTTTAGAGCAAATGTTTCTTTCTCACTTCAACTTCAACTCCTATTATCACAACGATTGATATTCATATGAGAACTTTGTTGATGTAACATTTGATAGCAAACTCCTTCAGTTAGTAAGTTCTGATTATTTATTTTAGGGGCGTAAAGCTGAAGAACAACGTTCTCAACGCTTGTCCGCCGAATTGGCTCAATTCCGTCACGAAGCTGAGAAACGTCTCGCTGAGAAGGATGAGGAAATTGAAGCTATCCGGTAAGTTAATCAATGAAACAAAATAAACCAAAAAATGTTTCATAATTCAGTCCACTGAATTTCAAGAAAGTGTAAGTTGGAAGAATTAAATTTACACATGCGTGAAATGTGCGAGAACAACTTTGAGTGAAAATGTTATATACAGGGTGTTTTTTTAGTGAGAGAGAGTCCATTATTTCCGTTAGTGTTGAACTTTCGAAAAATAACATTTATTTAAAATTAATAATAATAAAAATTATTTGGAAATATCCACCGCAGTTGTGGACGAAACGTCAGGAAGAAATTCCGATAGACCACGGCTTCAAAGCCCGGAAAACATTCCTAAATGTAATTTAAGCGGCCGTGAAAGCCTTCATAGTTCGAAAAATAGTTTCATATAAAAGTTGTTGACGTATAAAGTGCGCACAATTTAAAAATACTTTATATGATACAGAGTGTCTCAGAAAAGCCAGGCAAGATCAAAGTGTATTTTTTTAAATAGAACTACCCATTTTTCATTAGCTCATGGAATGCAACTTGAAAATCTGCACATGCACCGGAAATTGTTTTTTGTGACTTGCGACGTTGGCAGATTATCGCCATTTTAGTAAAATTTTGCTTAAAATCATGGTATCTAAAAATTCATTATAGAAGCAAAAAAAGCAGTTAAAGATACAAAAAATTACTCCATTCCAATCACCACAGATCCGCTAAGAATTCTATAGAACCAAAATATCAATACAATGGACAATATTGTACAGGGTGTTAACAATGTGGACTTAAATCTGAAACTTTTTAACGCAATATAACTTTTGTTTTTCAAATGGAGGTACCTGTATATTAAAACATCATTAGATAGACAATTTACAAAGTTTCATTTACACAGCTGTGAAACCAACCGTTTTCAAATTATAACTTATTTTATTTAAAATTTCAAAAAGTTGTTACATTTTGTACAAGTGGCTATTTTACATTACATTTTATATAGAAAGGCGTATTTTTTTTGTATCTTTAACTGCTTTTTTGCTTCTACACTGAATTTTTAGATACCATGATATTAAGCAAAATTTTACTAAAATGGCGATAATCTGCTAACGTCGCAAATAGAAAAAAATAATTTACGGTGCATATGCAGCGTTTCAAGCTGCATTCCATGAGCTAATAAAAAATGGGTAGTTCTATTTAAAAAATATACTTTGATCTTGCCTCGCTTTTCTGAGACACTCTGTATCATATAAAATAGTTTTAAAATGTGCGCACTTTCTGCGTCAACCACTTTTATATGAAACTATTTTTCGAAAGTTTAACACCAACGGAAATAATGGACTCTCTCGCACTAAAAAACAGCCTGTATATAAGCGTATGCAATAGAGAGCCCTTGGATAAAATCAAATGGTTAAAATTGATTTGCGCGGAAGATAACGAAAATTTGCAACCGAACGTCCAGAAGAGTCACGATTTTCAGCCAGAAATGGAAGAACCAGAACCAGTGCGAATAAAAAACATTTACGCGCGGATAAAGTTGCACACGAAAATGCGTTTAGAAAAATTAGAGCTTGAAACGAAACTTGAAAAGTTTAAAATGCGCAGCTCTAGCAAGATGACGGAGAAAGACAGTTTAACTTTTTTTTATTATTATTTGCAATTATAAATCAATTCAAATTTGCGTGGAGAAATAAAACATTCGACTTAAGAACAATTCAAACTAAAAACAACCAGTCTTGAATTTCCAATCAACTTTTATCAGTTCCTGTACTTATAGAAAAGCAACTATGCAGGTTCACTTTAGATAGTCCAAAGGAATAAAGAGAGAAATGTATTCAAAAGTTGAAAATATTAAATAAGAATCATGTCTCCAATGGGAAAATAAACCCCAACTTGCGATTTAAACAATGAAACATATATTAAATCCTAGCAATTAGCTCGCTGATACGGATAATATTGATGATTTAATCAACATGTAATAAAAACCGACTACAAAAGACAAAACGAACAAGCTGGAGTAGCGCTGCGTCTCTGTTCAGTTTAAAGAAAAACGTGTTTTGTTAAATTTGATATAATTTAAATAATAAGTTTCGCTTTTATTTAAACCAAAGCGTGATTTCTATAAAAAATATTGTGTTAATTTTCTCTATTTTAACACCTTGGATAGTACAATAGAATTTCTAAGTGAGCAATAAAAAAATGTTAAACGGGCTTTTTTCACAAGAAATTTCGAAGTCTTTAACAGTGCAGACTCGCCCTGTATAGTTTTTAAAACTAAACGATAACGATTTTCAATTGCTCAATTTTTCACAATATTCAAATTATAATGCAGACATTGGATCAGTTTTACAAAACGTATATGTATTCTACAAAAAAATCTCTGCCAGTTGAAAAAAATTTGCAGCTCTTGGATTGAAGCTTTTCTTCTAGTTAGAAGTTATACAGGGTGTTCCGTAAATATGTTAAAATATTTTAACAGCGTGTTCTCCTAGTCATTTTAGAGGGGGTATTCTTGGGATTTTTTTTAAATTTGAGGTCTCATTTTTGAGATATTTGATCTGCAAAATGGCGAAAAATATTAGCTTTTGTTGTTTTTGTTTAAAACGGTTAAACATAGAAACTTCAATTTTGGTATACATTATAAGCTAATTGAGTGCCATTCTATGCTAGTGTTTCGTGGTTGAGTTTGCTTTTATACAGGGTAGAAATGTGGAACCCCTACTTTTCTTTTGTTCAGAACTTTTTTGTGCGCACTTAAACTTTTATCAGCATATTTTTTTTAAATTGCTACAAGTTATTTATCAACTTTTTTACCTCTTATTGTCTTTCCCGAAGGGCACTAGTTTTCCAGCAAAGACAGAAATCGTTTCGGCTTGATCAAAACTTTCCAAGTCGTTGCAATGGGAGATATCAAGAAGCTCCTATAAACTCGCCTCCCAGATCTCCCGATCTAAACGCGCTTGATTTTTACTTCTGGGGCCATTTAAAAAATATGGTGTATTCAACAGAAGTGAATACAATCCAAGAACTTCAGGAAAGATTATTTAATATTTCTAACGAAATAAGAACTTCAGTGCAAACTTTACGGTCTGTAAATTTTAATATCACTGCGATTATGCCAATAATGTCAATTTGAACAGCAGCTGAAAAGTTAACATTAGAATGGTTATTTTTTGGAATTGGAAAATGGAATTTTGTTTGTTTATATCGTTGCGCATATTGTTACCATAATATTATTTAAGTAAAATTTATTCAAACTTAATAATTGTAATCTGAACCAAAATACACAATTTAGAAAATTAATTTAGGTTGTTAGTAATCAACTAATAATGCGTACCAAAATTGTTATATGACAACGTTATTAGACTTAAAAAATTAACTTAATTACTTACATATTTTGAGAACGGCAAAGAAAACGATTTTATTTTTTTGCGCGCAAACTAGTAGTCTTAAAAAAAACAATAAGAGATAAAAAAACGTTGGTAAATAACTTATAGTAATTAAAAAAATTATGTCGAGAAAAGTTTAAGTGCACCCAAAAAAGTTCTAAACAAAACAAAAGTTGTGGTTCCACATTTCTACCCTGTATAAAAGCAAACTGAATCACGAAACACTATAATAAAATGGCACTCAATTAGCCAAAATGTATACCAAAATTAAAGTTTCTATGTTTAACCGTTTTAAAAGAAAACAACAAAAGCTAATAATTTTCGCCATTTTGGAAATCAAATACCTCAACAACGAACCCTCAAATTAAAAAAATCTCAGGAAGACCCCCCCTCTAAAATGACTAAAAGAACACGCTGTTAAAATATTTTAACATATTTACGAAGCACCCTGTATAATCAAACGTTTGAGTAGCTACTATATAAAACCTATATGAAGTCGATCGTAATCCAGAAAAACATGGAACATGTATTATTTATTTTAGTAAAATTGTTTAATAGATAAAATTAAATAAAAAACTTTCAACGGGAAAGCAAGCAATTTGTTTTTTGTATTTGCTAATCTATGAGTTCAATTTATTTAAGATAAACTGACTTACACACTGAAATACAAAACAAACTGTTTTGTGTGGCTTTTCTGAATATTTTTTCTATAATCTATTTTTAGGCAAATACAGGGTAGGTAAATCACACATGGAATGACCTGTATCATCTTATACGCGTTTGCCATTTGTGCACATTGTCTTCTTTAAATGCAATGAAGCAGATGAACCTTAAAAGTCTAAAAGAGTGATTTATCTAACTTTATAATTCTATACAGTGCGATTCTCTAACTTGGAATAAGTTTTGTAAATTCTCAGGTTTTGTTTTGGAATTATCGTCGAACATGTCCATTAAGTATCTGTTTGATATAAGAATTTTTTTTTAATGGATGTTCTAATTTTGACATTTTTTTTAACTTGATGATATTGGAAGCGGAACTAAAACTTGTTGAAAAAAACAATTCAATTACTTCGGCGAAAATTAGTCTACACTTCCCAATCTTCAAAAATTAGATTTTCAAATACTCCCATAAGGAATAATCTAGAGGTGTTAAATCCGGAGAGTTTGGACGCCATTCAGGACACATTGAAATGATACTCACTCACTCACTTACAAAGTGAGGAGGAAAACTTTTTCTTCCTGTAGGAATTCTAAATATTCTGCTCCATTGAGATTTTTTGAAAAAAATTGGTCCGGTTAACTTAAATTTAATTTAATACGATACACTTAACTAACTAATGTTCCAGTGTAGAATATGTGGATGAAACTATTCCCAAAAAACCAAGCAGCAATTTAAAAGCTGTTTTTATGGTTTGGTGTCCTGATTATTGACATTTGAGAGTTGTAAATTTGAGATTAGCCCTTATAGAAACAGTACCAAAATTGACTAAAAGTGAAGACATGGAAAAAATCAAATTCCCAGCTGACCTTAGAAAAATAAGTGTTATGAAACTCTGGATCAAAAAGCAAAGTGCAAATAAATTTTTAAATAGTTTGGCCCGATCACAAAGCTACGTCAGGTGAATGTGTTGTGCCCTATAAATAAACAGATGTTTGCTAATAAATAAATTCGAACCAATTGAACTGAAATACACATAGGCGCCCTAATTAATGAATAGTCCGAAATTAATTAAATTAAAAATACACGCATGATACATCGTTAAAAATATTATGCCAAACAATTTGATTCCCCCAATATAAATCCATAGAGCTTGAGCGCTCAACCAGTTGCTGAAAAGTCGCTAGAATCGAACGATATTGACGAATTTGTGTGAAAATGTCTGGCAGCCAATACGTTTGTACAGATTCCCGGAATCCTCGAACCAAATGGCGACCAAAAACCCAATATTACAACTATAATTATGGCATTGGCATGAACTATTACCAACCAATGGTGGACTTTATTGAGGAAAAATCGTCTGGACGAAAACTGCCAAACCCCCACCTTCCCTGGACTGAGGAGCTGGGTTTAAGCCAGTTTGACCCATTACGCGTTCGCAGTTACAGTGAACAAGACCTAACGAAATTATCAGCCAAAACGGAGCGAAGTGCCAAAATTCGACTAGCAGCTGGACGCTCGCATGCCAGCTCCAGTTTTGTGATAGCCGAGTCGGCCAGTGCCGCAAGAATCACCACGAAAATTCAACAGGAAGAGCGCAAGAAGAACAAGCTTGTGAAGGAAATCAGAAAACTGAAGAGCAGAATGGTGGATGATATCGACTACAACCCCGAACGGGATCGGGATATTGAGCGAGAGCTGATGGCTCAACAGAAGTACTTGAGAGGCAAATCGGCCAAGTCCATCGAGGCTCAACTGCTGGCGAAGAGCCGCAAAGCCATAGCGGAGTGTATTGATGAAGACTTGAAAATCTCTCAAGTGAGCCAGATGAGGGCTGTAACTACTGGGCGGTGTTTCCGAACGCACGTCAAAGTTATGGACGAAAGAATGACTTCGCAGCTGGAAGAATCCATCACACAACCTCTGGACACGCTCAGCCAAGAACTGCGGGGATTTGACCGCAGAGCTACGTATAATTACATTGATCAAAGGTGACTTACATATAACACTTAAGATTATTTTGCAAATGCCAAAATAAAGGTCTGTTAATGGAATGTTGTACTTTCAATATTCTTTTGATCTGGAGCTTGGGATTCGACGCCTGGCAGGCGAAAGACCCTGAGAATTTTCAAATTCGTTACATAAGTGCGTCACAAATTGGATCACCTAAAAATATAACGCAATTAAGATTGATCGAAGGCAATGCACGGTGTCTGCCAAATTAAATGCCTTATGGTCTTGAAAATGCTAAGTGAAAGATTATAATTAGAAATAATCAGTCCTGTCCAAGACAACATGAAATTAGGTGCAGCCAGTTGGAACAGACACTGGAATGCTACTGAATGCAGAAAATTATCCAAATAACCACTTTTAGACCGAATACTTTGATACAACATGCTTAGAACAACTAAGCAATTCACGGTGCTTCACGGCACGTATTTAGGGCGTTAAAACTTCAATCGTCGTTTAACGGTGTTTTTATTTTTGACCTCAGCAAAGCCACCAGCATTGAAATTGAGCAGCTCAACGCTCGCGTCGTCGAAGCTGAGACCCGTCTTAAGACCGAGGTCACTCGCATCAAGAAGAAGTTGCAAATCCAAATCACCGAGTTGGAAATGTCTTTGGACAGCGCCAACAAGACCAACCTCAACTTGCAGCAAACGATCAAGAAACAATCGTTCCAACTCACCGAAATCCAGGCTCATTATGAAGAAATCCAAAGACAATTGCAGGTAAAAATTCGGAGAAATGTTGGAGCTGAATATATACGATTGAGGAATTTTGGTTGTTTCAGGTCACTTTAGATCAACTGAGTGTCGCTTCCAGGAGAGTGCAGGCTTTGACTGCTGAAGCTGAGGAAATCAGGGGCAACTACGAATCTGTAAGTAGACGTTCCTAATTTAGCGTGACTTTGTAATTTTGCCCAAATCTGCCAGCAATAAGGGAAGTACCGGAACGTGTACCGCTTATCTAAAAAATGGAAATTTTGCAAACTTTTGCGCCGAAAAATCAGTTAATGCGCATATTTTTAAAGCATTTTATTTAATCATACTTAATCAGGAAAAATCGCTTACAGAATATTTCATCCGCGAGAAACAACATATTTACGTTTTTTACAAACTTCTTTTTGGGTATTTGGCCTCAAAAATTTTTGTCTTTAAAAAAGACAGAATTTCCTCACGTCTCTTATTACAGATTGATAAATA